TGGGGGGCCTATCAATTACCCTCCCCAATTCAGCCACCTTGTCCTCAAGGTGGAAAGTGGGAAATTGTTGGTTGATTAGGTTGTACGGTTCCCAAGTGGCTTCCATTGGAGACATTCCTCTCCATTTTATCAGCACTTCCATATCCTCAGCATCACTTGATGAAACAGTTCAGGTTCCCAACACTGCCTCTGGCTCTACCGTTAGTTCCCAATCCGCACCAAGATTAAGTGGCAGTTGAGTGGTCAAATGATGCTCCCCAACAGCTTTCCGCAACTGTGAAACATAAAAGACTGGGTGAATTACGGTCCTCGGTGGCAGGTCTAGTTTATAAGCAACATTCCCCACCTTGGCCACAATTTTGAATGGTCAATAGTAGCTAGGAGCCAGCTTCTCATTGATCCGGTGTGCCAGTGTTTTGCGACGATACGGCCTCATCTTCAAATAGACTAAATCACCTGCTACTGACCGTCGGTGCTTATCAGCCAAGTTTTTAATTTGCTGTTGAGCTCTCTGCAAGTAAACCTTGAGCTCCTCCAAGACTCTATCACATTCTACTAATTGCTGATCCAAGGAAGAAACAATGTAGGTGCCCTTCTCAAAAGGCAACAAAGTTGGGGGTTCTCCCCCATATAATATACGAAAGGTGTCAATTGTGCGGATACATGGAATGACGTATTGTATGAGAGTTCTGCCCAAGCCAAAAAACAGTGCCATTCCTTTGGTCTGAATGTAGCAAAGTAGCGCAGATATGTTTCCACACTTCGATTAACCACTTCTATTTGGCCATCGATTTGGGGGTGATAGGCCGAACTATGCTTTAATTTCGTCCCCTGCAAGCGAAACATTTCGCTCCAGAATTTGCTTCGAAACACTTTGTCTCTGTCAGATACTATGGAGCGTGGTATCCCATGCAAACAAACTATTTCCTTGATAAAGATTGAAGCGACTGAGGGTGCAGTGAATGGATGTTTGAATCCAATTAAATGAGCATGCTTGCTTAGTTGGTCCACCACTACTAGAATGGAATCAAACCCCTCCGACTTAGGCATACCTTCTATGAAGTCCATAGATTTGTCTTCCCAAACTCGCTTTGGAATAGGTAGAGGTTGTAACAGGCTGGCTGGAATCAATGTTGAGTATTTGCACTGTTGACATACTTCACAAGCAGCCACGTACTCCTAAATGTCCTTCTTCATGCCAACCCAGTAAAATGTGCGAGCAACTCTCTTGTAGGTTTTAAGGAATCCACCATGCCCTCCAACTTTGCTATCATGTCCTTCCTGTAGAGCCAGCCGGATTAAAGGAGAGTCCTTAGGTAAGGTGATCCTATCCTTGTATAATAGGACTTCCTACACAATTGCATAACCTAAGTAAGATATTGGATTATCCTTAATGGCAGTCCTCACCGTACTTAGAAGCTGATCTTCCATCTGTGCTCTAATTACTTCAACTATTTGCAAGACACTTGAAATGTTGAGAGCCATAAATGTTACTGTTCCCACTTTTCTGAACAATGCATCTACTGCTCTGTTTTCTAGTCCAAGTTTATATTCGATGTTGAAGTTAAAACCCAATAATTTCGTCAACCATTTCTGATATTCCTCATTGATCGCTTGTTGTTCGAAGAGAAATTTGAGGCTCTTTTGGCCTGTTCGCACCACGAATCACCTTCCGAGTAGGTAATGCCTCCATTTTTGCACTGCCAAAGCTATTTCCATGAGCTCCCTTTCATAAAGAAATTTCCCCTGAGTTTTGGGTGGAAGAACCTAGCTGAAATAGGCTACAGGTCGCTGATTCCGCATCGAAACGCACCTAAACCAATACCAGAAGCATCAGTTTCAATAATGAAAGGTTGTGAGAAATCTGGAAGGGCTCATATCGGAGTTGTTGTCATGGCCTCCTTAAGTTTATTGAATGCGACCTCAACCGTGTTATTCCATCCAAAGCTATCCTTCTTCAATAGTTGAGTAAGGGCCACGCCATTTTCCCATACCCCTCCACCAATCGTCTGAAATAACCTATTAACCCAAGAAATCCCCTCAGCTCCTTTAGATTCTTCGGTTTGAGCCAATCACTCATGGCTGCAACTTTGGACTGGTCAGTCGCAACTCCTAATTCCAAGATAATATGCCCTAGGTACTCAATTGTCTTCTATCCAAAAGAACATTTGTTCTTGTTGGCAAAACGCTTGTGGTTTGCTAGGATTTGCAATACTCTCCACAAGTGGTCTCTATGCTCATCTTCCGTTTAACTATATACCAATATATTGTCAAAGAACACCAATACACATTTCCTGAGCATGTCCTTGAAAATATCATTCATTAAGGACTGAAAGGTGGCCGGTGCATTAGTCAAGCCGAAGGGCATGACAAGAAATTCATAGTGCCCTTCATGAGTTCAGAAAGCAGTCTTTGGGACATCTTCTGCCTTAACCCGAATCTGGTGGTAACTTGATTGGAGGTCGATTTTTGAGAACATCTTAGCTCCATGTAGCTCATCCAGTAATTCATCAATGACAGGGATCGAAAATTTGTCAGGCACGGTTACTTTGTTTAGAGCTCAGTAGTCTACACAAAAGGCCAACTATCGTCTTTCTTTTTTTAATAAGAGCACCAGGCTTGAAAAAGGGCTCGTGCTGTGATGAATGATACCCGTCGCTAACATCTCTCGAACTAGTCACTCAATTTCATTTTTCTGAAAATGGGGGTATCGATAAGGTCAGACACTTATTGGCTCAGCGCAGATTTTAACACTATTGGATGGTCCTGTCTTCGTTTGGGAGGCAACTGTGTGATATCCTTAAAGACTCCTTTAAATTCTTCCAGAACTTCTTCAATAATTGCCGGTGGCCGATGCAAGGGTGGATTGTGGGATAGCGTGATGGCCCCTAATTTCAATAAAAGCCCCTTACCTTGTTCCTTGAAAGTCTTCCACATGGATTTTAATGATATTGGAATTTTGCTAAGGCTTGAGTCCCCTTGTAAGTTAACAGTCACCCCCTCCTTGGCAAAGGACATCGTGAAATTATTCCAGTCGACTTGCATCCTTCCTAACTTCTGTAGCCACTACATTCCGAGTATGACGTCGAAACTCCCCAAATCCAAAGGTGGGAAGTCCTCAACCACTTCCAAACCCAACAGCTTCAATGTTACCTGCCTGCAAATGCTTTCTCCTTTCATCGTCAATCTTGTGCCCATTATTACACCATATCCAGTCGTGCCTGACAATGGAAGCCCTTCCTCTTGCACTAGCCTAGCTGAGATGAAATTGTGGGAAGCTCCACTATCCCCTAGTACCACCACTTTCCTCGGACCGATCAATCCTTATAGCTTCATTGTTCCAGGAACCACCGAATTAATGGAGAGTTCGATAGGTTAACCCATCGAACCTACCTCCGATTCTGGCGCCACCACGTCGTCAACAACGACTTCGCTCCCTGTCAATTCCTTTGGCACTCACTACTCTGTTTCTTCCAACTCCCGAATAACCAGTACTTGCAGCTCCTTACTCTTACATTTATGGCCAATAGTAAACTTTTCGTCACAACGATAGCACGGGCCTCTTTCTTCCTTCGCTTGAAGCTCTGCGTCAGTGACTCTCCTGAAGGGTGTGGAAAATTTAGGGCGATTCATGGTCAGATGTAGGGGTATTGTGGTTCGGGCTTGGGTTTTGTGGGTTTGTGGGGGATTTAGGCTATTATGTGGGATAGTTTTGGTTTTAATTGGGCATGAGTTGATATGGGTTGTTTGGCTAATAGTATTTCGATCCACCACCATTTGGGCCACTTCCATCATTTGCTCCAAGTCCACCGGTCTAAGTAAATATACCTCAGCCCTGATTTCTGGCACCAACACATTAAGGAAAATGGATTCGAGCATCTTTTCAGAGACATTTTTCAACGGCGTGGCCAATGTTTCAAACCTCATACGATAATTTCTAAACGTGTCCTCCTGCCAGATGGAGAGAAATTGGGCGCACAAGTATCCTCCCTACGTGTACCGAAAACGGCAAAGGATTTGTACCTTCAAATCCTCCCAATTTGTTGGTGGCCTTCGTTTCTCTTCCCACTTATACAATGCCAAGGCCTCACCATCAAAACATACAATAGCTGTCTCAACTTTATCCTCCACTTATTCAATTGAGGCTAAGATACCTCTCCACACAGAAAATTCACCCGTCTGGACCGTCTCCTTCAAAAACGGGCATCTTCAAACTCCGGATTCGTGGCTCCAACCTCCAGTCATTGCTTAACCCCACACTGTTCTGACTTCCCTCAAATCTGGACTCGGTTAACCCGGATTCCTGTTGTGTCACCGATGAGTTTTCAATGGCTGGGCCCTTATCCTTTCGTTCCCTCTCCTGGTTTTCCCAAGCACGCAGCAAAAGATCGAACTTGAAATGCATCGACTTAAACTCCGATCGTAGAATTTCGAGACCAGTTTGCAGCTCTTGATGATTGCTTTCAACCTTCTATTCCAATTCCCGCATTCTGTCTGCAAGAGTCATGGTCGTGTTTTTGGCTGACTTAGGGTGCTCTGATACCAATATTGATGGGAAAAACTGGGGAAGATGATGGTTGGACAAAGAAACAATGGATCTATGGAAGCTAAAAGATTTTATATTAATGAAAGAACGATTACAGAAACTAGAATGATAATGAGCAGCATTTCGAGAGGGCTGAATCTCTCCTAAATGTCACTTACATCAATCCGGTCATGCCCCTCCTCTCTCCTCCCCTATTATTTATAAGTGTGCCAAAACAGATTCTTAACTGAATTAGTTACTACCCCCACTCCCTCCCTTTCTCTTGATTCTTCTAAAATAAGTGTGCGTGATTGGGGGCCTATCAGATGCATATTCTTAATTTTCAGTACCGCCACCAGAAATACTCATTAGTAGGTAAATACAGTGCAGACGTCTTTGTTAGACGATTTATGATAATGAAATGCTAAAATGACAATAAACAAATATGTTGAGGATATGTATGGCAAAGCCTTACCTTTTGTCTCCTAAGCCTTTCGTTCTCCTCCTCCAGACGTGAAACCTTGTTCTCCAACTCCTGAGTGTAAGCCTGCCGATCACATAGTAATATTTTATGGGTTATAGTCAAGGTGAAGAGATAAAGAATATACTATCCACAAGTTGGGTTATGAAAGTTCACCTGCTTCCTTGCTCTTGATCGTGCTGCAGATTCCCGGTTCTTAATCATTCTCTTTTGTCTCCTTTCAACAGTCCTTTCAGTCAATTCATCAGGTGCACGTCTCTTTCTCCCAGGCGTCTGCGTATCTGACGAAGTGCCCCCCATCAAAGGAGATGTAGACATTGTCATTTGGGTTTCAGGATAGGCTTCATCTATCATCAGGTCTCCACTGATGGGAATAGACTGTTGAACTGACTGGCCAGGCACATAAAATGGCAGCATGTTCTGTTGCTGTTGCTGCTGCTGTGGGTTAATTAAAGGGAACTGATATGACATCCACTGAGCTTGCTGTGGTAGATCCATTGGATCGGTAACCCTTAACACTGAGTCTGAACCTTTCTCCATTGGAGATGACTCAGCAACTACCCCTGCCTTCACCAAGAAGTCCTCCAGTGTCATTTCACCAAGAGTGGTTTTTCTGTCAAGATTGTTCCTCTTCTGCACCTGCTGAATATCGTGCCAAACCTCATCGACAGTCTTCTTGCTCAAATCCCTAGAGAGTGTCAAGCTCGACTGTCGATTCAAGGAGGAGCCAGAAGTGGATTGGGTGGGGCCTTGTACAGCAGACATGTAATCAACACTTTCCGGAGCTTTATTATTAGCCTCGGCAGTCCAAACAGTCTTGAGAAGTTCATCTAGATTCATGCTACTTAACGGTTTCCCTAAATCCCCTAATTGATTCTGTACCTCATCGAACGTGAGGTTATACAAGGACCCCTGCCTATCCAGTGGATTCGATTTTGGGTCCTGACTTTGATTTCGCATTTGGGTCGGATCTCCCCCAATACTGTTACTACGGGCACCATGAGATCCCATCGTTTGAGTTGCCATTTAACACTTCCCTTCTCTCGCCCACTCTTCAATTTTAACTTTTCTGGAAATTAATCCAAAAACCCTTTAATCAACAGAACACTGAAACTCCTTAACATAAAACAAAGCATAAAAAGTACATTCAATCTATTAAAACAAAAGATTAAAAAAACCATCAAATCAAAGAAAAAAATGCATTACAAATTAATAAAATTCTGCAGTAAAATTAAGTATGGGGTACAGAAATTAACACCTAGATCAAATCCCAGAAAATGCACAAAGATATCATAGGGAAAAGAAAGGTAGAAATATACTCACCTGAAGAAGAAACTCTGGAAAGAAGATAAATTTGCATGCAGCGAGTGTGGTCCAAATTTCTCTACAAGAGAACAAAAAGCCCAGAAGCCTTTGCTGCAAAAATCTGAGAGCTCAATCTACCTCAGCACAAAATAATACAGACATACAAATTTATATGCCAAAACGGACAAATAATAATAAATAAATAAATAAAAACTATGGAAATGCGAAAACAGACCCACATTCTATTCACCGTAGGATTTTATACTATTTTTTTGGGAAAAAACAGTGGAAGTCACCCAACTTTGAGATAAGTCACTTTAGTTACTTATCCTTTTTTAAAACTCATTGTTCGTTCCCGAGGTTTCAATTCCGTTTCAATTTAGTCACCAATAATAATTCCATCTGTACTGGCAAATAATTTTTCTTGCATTATACTTCCTATGACATTAATTATTGCATTAAATGGACAACGATGCAATGGTGTTTTCTAACTTTTTTGTTTCAAACTCGTTATTAGTTACTCGTGTTTCGTTTTAATTTTTATCGACGATAATAATTTCATCCTACTTAGTAGATAATGTTAACTTCAGGTGACATTAATTATTGCATTAAATGAACAGTGATGCAAATCTTATCCGAAAGTTTTGCTATCAAAATGAACGGTAAACGTGACTTTTACAATGGACACGCTATAGTCATGCACCTAGACAACTAATCAGCTTTATTACATTCGTATTTTTTATATTAAAAAAAAAGGAAGAATTGTAGTTGGAGTTCCAATTTTTTCAAATCATTGCAGACTATACTCAAACATTTTATTTAGTTTCCCTCATTTTTTTTTACCCTAAATAAAAACCCTCTCTATCTATCTATCTATCTCTCGCTACTGTTAATATTTGTAAGCATATGAGCGCAACTTTAGGAATGGTAATATGACCATTTTACCCTTCACTTAATTGCTCGGAATAAGTCAAAATTTTAATTTTTTGGTTGATTGACGTAGGAATGGACGGATTTCATTCATCTCTTCTTTGTGCCATCATTATTAAAGGTTTGAGATCCAAACTATAAATATGAAAGATTTAGATATAGTTTACAATAATTTAAAAGATTTGGGATCCTAATTGCAATTCTTCCTATAAAAAAAATGTTTATTGGACAGAAAATGACGCTAAATTTTGTGATGCAATAGTCATTAAAAAAATTGGAACTTCAATGAATAAGCTTGGGAAAAAAATGTTAAATCGCTAAAATGGGATTTTCTTCAAAATTAGGTGGCCTTTATGCTGACCAATCTGAAGGAACTAGAAAAAAATAGCGTACCTAAGTAAATTACTAAGTAGGTATTTGATTTGTTGTTTTCAATTTTTAGTTTTGCAAAATATTCAAAATTTTATTTGGTTTGATACTTTCGAAAGTGTATTTTTGAAGAAAAAAAATAAAAATAAAAATAAAAAAGAAGAAGAAAATTAAACTTATAACATAACACGCAATGTATTTTCGACGTTTCAAGTATTTCTAGTGATAAAAACACTAATAGATGGGAAATAAGCGTGTACATAAAAAAATAAAAATAAAAAATCGAAAAGATAAAATCTAAAATCTAAAATTATAAAAACATAAAAAATGTAAAAATAATTAAAATTTTCATATATATATATAAATAATTGATAATATATTAATATTAAATTATTATGCATTATTGAATAATCAAATTTTATGAAATAAAATGTTATAAAATAATATATCAAATTTTCAAGCCATAGTGTTTTTTCAATTTTTCATTGAGAGAAACATTTTTTTTAGAATAACAGATCAAATGCTGTTTCAACAATTTTAAAATGGACTTTCAAAATATAAAAATAAAAATAAACTCAAAACTGAAACGCGGCTCAAATGAGCCTTAATTGTTATAGCACTTGTGCGGGCCTGTCCCAATGAAATTTCTAAGTGACAAGGTAGATCAGAATTTAAATTTTCAATTTTTTTCTCTCCATTTATTTATTTAAATTCTATTATTTATTTTAAAAATTATTTAATATATAATTTATTATAAATATAGTCGATTCTGGTTCATAGTGAAAATGAGGAAGATTCCATTTTAGTGATTGTTGACCATTTCTATAAAATGGTTCATTTTGTTTCATGTAAGCATATGGCCAAATGTTGTCATTGTGGTACAACAATTCTTTCACAAGGTGTATTTGCTTGGTCATCCAACTTCGATTTTTTACAAAATGGGACACAATTTTTAGTCATTTTTGGTGTAATCCTAGGAAGTTTGTCAATGGTTCTCCTAATTTCAGTAATGATATCACCTTCAAACTGAAGGACAAATACAAATGATAACTCTTTCAGAGTCTTGTTATGAATAATTTCGTTCTTAAGATCAACGTTGAGTTGGGTGAAATTTTCTAATAATCATGTGGTCAATTGTGCTACTAGATTAAGTCCTTTCTATATTATTTACAGCCTGATACCTCGATGCCTTGTCGATTTACTTATGCTACTTTGTTGTATACAACTTTACAACCAAACATCGAATTTTGTAAACATTTTTGCAGTAGTTTCACCAGACCATTTATTATCATTTGCTCAAGTCTAATGAAAAATATAAGCAAATTTCTTATTGTAAAAGGCATCATGTGGAGTTTGCGGTTAGCGATTTTGCTGAAAAAGTTTTAACTAGTGACCATTTCCAGTGATGGCTATAAGAAGTTGGCATCGTTGTCTATCCAAAGTACTCTCAGACAAAACAGGCATTAACACCCAAATCTTAAGATTCGATTGATACTAAAGCATACGTCATTTCTTATTCCAACCCTTTAGCTTGCTACATTAAGTCGAGATTTAGTCGACATACCAAACACACTTGGATTTCTATTATATTTTAGCGAAAGATCATAAAAATTATGTAAGTTTAACGTATTAAAATGTCGTAAATAATTTGATCATTTAGGCACTCAACTTGTTAACGTATTGCATACAGAAATGTGCTCTCGAATAAACATGACATGGCATACTAAAAATACCATAGATATGTCTAGTAGCCTCCGATTGATGTGATTCCAAGTGCTTGGACAAAGGAATGATATGCTGTCAAGCCCCAATGGTCTCGTCCAAAAACTTGAAGAATACATGTGAAGATCATTTAAAAATCAAACAAAAATTTGAAAATTTCACATTTCAGTCACTGAGGATTTCTATCATACTTTATCATAGAAGTTCACATCCAACTCGATTCATGCTTATTCAATTTACTTGAAAGCATAACTGTAATTTTATTCACATTGTATTCAAGCACAAATGCTGACATTTTATATTGAGAAGTAAAATACAGGGAAATCATTTAAAATATATCACAATCTTCCTTATGCACTTAACTTCCATCGGAAATTTAAAACATGTTTTAAACATGAGAACTTTCTATCATAACCTTGAAATTTGTGTTTGACATAATTTCTTTCCTCTTTGATTCCATCATATTCAAGTCATCCATCGTTATCCTCAAACCCTTTAACTTGTAGAGTGAAGAGGTGGAAGCGAATAAGTACGTGAATACTCAATAGGGATATCTCATTTGTGACCCAATCAATTATAACATAATTTACATAAATAAAGTCACAATTCATACTATAAATGGATTATAAGCAACTCCCTTAATTTTGAAGAATCTGTGTAGTTACAAAAAATCCCTTTACTTGTAGGTATCTTCTATGGCCATAATTAACCTTTTGGTCCTTGGATTAACCTTTCGATTCTTAGCCATTTAAAAAAATAATAATAATAATAATAATAATAAAAATTTAAATAGCATATTCATACAAAATCATGCATCAATCGATAAGCAAAAACAATGGTACATATCCCTAACTTACTTCTTGAAATGAGAGTTGTAGTTTTCCTTTATTGAACGGCCAAAACTTTCTTTTTCCTCCAACATTATAACACTTTCTCTTTTCTCTCTTATTTGAAAATCAATTCCAAACCAAAACTTGTAGAGAAAAAAGAAAAAGAGGGAAGGACTATTCTTTTTTCTTTTTTTTTATCGGTAAATGTAAATATCATTGATAAAAAATGTTCCATATACAAGTACGCCGAGCATTCCTAGGCGAATCAAAAACCAATGTCACATACTATTACTCCGGGCATACCCCGGAGAGACAAAAGAAAGTGAAATGCATAAAAGATCAATGACCCAATGCCAAGGATTCGAAATGAATCAAGACATCTGGATACAAGGTAAACATAACTTTGTATACGTGTGTCTTGATCCGTCTCACAATGCAATCCAAGTAGAGTGAGAGGTCTTCGAAAATCTTCCTATTCCTTGTAAGCCAAATGTAGTAAACGGTGCTTGCAAGAACAATCCTCTTCGTCTTACTTAGCCATGAAGTCCCACGGACCTTCTTTTTCAACCACTTTAGAGCACTAGCAAGTGTTGAGATAGATCTCATAATGCTGAACCATCGCCTAATATTCCCCCATAAGCTAGATGTAAAAAAACATTTAAAGAAAAGATGGTCGCAAGTTTCCACAAAATGCCCACAAAAATCACTTACGAACAATATCCAAGAAAAGCAATTTGTCTTTAGTTAGGAGCTTTGATTGGGCCCCTAACCAAAGCATAAAAGAATGCTTCAATGTAATACACGGTTTCCAAACTTCGGCTCCCCAAGTCTTGAAAGTACCCTTAGGCCTAAAAAAATTATAAGCAATTTTTGTGCTGAATTTATCACTTGCAGAACAACTCAGATTTTCGTCCAAAAATTCCAAAAACTGCCTACCGAATGAAGCAATCTGCCCGCTTGCAATGCTGTCCAGATTGTGCCCATTTTCCCCCAAGTTCTGTGCATTCCCAACAAAGTAATTTGGCCCAAAAATAGCATGCCGAGAAGGGGCAATGCCAGCATCCATTTGACCCAATGCCCCTTACTGTCCATTAGTTAAAAACTGTTGGGCAGCATCTTTTACAAGAAGAATGTCCCTAATTTCCAATAGTTTCTTGAAGAGTGGAGAATGATCATTTCTAGGACAAACCTCCCAAATGCAAGTCCCACTAAGATAAATTTGATGAACCCACCGAATCCATAGAGTGTCCTTTTTATTGTGAATGTTCCAAAGGCATTTAGCAAGTAACGCTAAATTCCAACTCTTCAAGTCCTTTAATCCAAGGCCTCCTTCCTCTTTTGGAAGGCAAATATTCTTTCATGCAACTAACGGCTTTTTTGAACCCCCAAGGAATTTCCGACAAAAGCTAACAATCTTTGATATAATTGTAGTCGGAATAGGGAAAATAGAGAGCCAAAAACATTCGACTCCTTGAAGAACCGCCTTATAAGTTCAATCTTGCCTGCATAAGATAATGTAGAACAATTCCAAGCACCAATATATGTTGTTATTTTGTCAAGAAAATGAACATAACAACTTACTTCAAGTTTTTTCGATGCAAGGGGGATGCCTAAATATCGAAAACGCATATGGAACACTTGTTAATCCTAAGATATCTTCAAGAAGCTGTCCATGAATTCCAGCAGTAAACAAGTTGGATTTAAGAACATTCAACCTTAATCCCAAAATCGAACTAAAATTTGAAAGGCAATCCATGACAATTTTTACCTACATAACGTCTCCCGTAGCAAATAGCATCAAATCATCCGTAAAAGCTAAATGGGTGATCTTTTGGGAACCACATTTTGGGTGAAAATTGAAATCATTATCATCCGTGGCAGCTTTAAGCAATCTTGAGAGGTATTCAATACAAAGCACAAATAAGAAAGGGGAAAGGGGGTCACCTTGCCGAAGACCTTTCCTACCTTTGAAAAAACCATGCGAAGTCCCATTCAAAGCTATAGAATATGATGTAGAAGTGACATATTCCATAACCCAATGAACAAATCTCGAGGGAAATTGCAACCCATGAAGAACGTCTCTAAGGAAATCTCAACTTACCGAGCTTTTGAAAGATCAATTTTTAGGAGGCATCTTGTAGCAACCATTTTCCTATTGTATTACCTCAAGAATTCTTGGGCAAGATGAATGTTCTCCGTGACACTCCTACCTTTCGCAAAAGCGGCTTGTGCATGATCAACAACGTCTCCCAAAATGGGTCTCAATCTACAAGCATGAATTTTAGCTATCATTTTGTAAGTAACATTACAATAAGAGATGGGCCTAAAATCACCAACATGCGGGGTGTGATCCGATTTAGGCACCAAAGCAATGGCCTTGTGATTGATTTGTTTGAGGATGGAACCCGAAGAGAAGAATTTCATGATAGCCCCAACAAAATCATCACGAATAGTCCCCCAAGCATTCTTAAAAAAAAAAAAGTGTAACCATCTGACCCGGGAGACTTTTCATCTCCAATATCAAAAAGAGCATCTTTAATTTCCTCATAAGAAATGTCCCGAATCAAATTGTTGCCTTGTTCCAAAGAAATCAAGGGACCATTAATAACAATATCCATCTCAATAGGCCGAGTAGGGCAATTTTTCCCCAGCAAAGAAGTATAGAAATTGACAAATTCCATAGCAACTTGATCTTGTGATGTAGTATACCTCCCATCTTCTTTGAGTATAGTATCAATAAAATTCCTACTAGAATTCCTTTTAACGATCGAGTGAAAAAACTTTGTGCATTTATCACTTTGCTTAAGAAAGACGTACTTAGCCTTTTGGTAATAAAAACTACGTTCCGCTTCACATAAACCAACGGTCTTCTTCCTCAATTTCGCAACCAAAAGCTGAAAATGCATATTCATGGGCTGATTATGTAACTGTAATTGGGGAGCCTCTAAATCATTTTTGGCCTCACTTGCTCTAGTCGAAATATGCCCAAAATGCTTAAAATTAAGCTCCTTCAAAGCACCCTTAAGTTTGCTCAATTTCTTGCAAAGGATAAATTATTTTGTCCCTCGCAAGTAAAATTTCCAGCAAGCTCTAATCAAATCATTAACGTCGCCATGCTTGGTCCACATGTTAAAAAACTTGAAAGAACTTTTTGCTCTACCAACACGGTCATATATAGAGACAATGCAAGGGGAGTGGTCGGAAAGACATCCGGAAGGTAGGAAATTTGCTTCAACAAATGCCCCATTTTGTACCCAAAAATCATTGACCATTGCCCTATCAATTTTGTTCCAAACCAACCCATTAGTCCACGTGTAAAAACAACCAATGGACCGCACATCCGTAAGACCCACTTTAAGGCAACAATTTGCAAGATTTTTAATTTCATAAGGGGTAACATCCGCCCCATTACATTTCTCATCAAACTTAAGAACATTGTTGTAGTCACCAAGAATCAACCAAGGTAATGACACATTTTCATTGAGCTCTATAATGGTATTCCAAAGTGGCCTTTGATTAACCATAGTGTGAAATCCATATACAAAACTCACAAGAAAAGTAAAAGAAGTTACCTTGTAAGTAGCTTTACAATGGATAATTTGTGAATGAACCTCCATCATATCCAAAAAAACTTTGGATGGATTCCACAAAATTAAGATCCTTCCGGCTCTATGTGTGCAAAAATTATTTACTTGCATGAAGCCATCAAACTTATTCCCCAAAATCCTCTTCAATTTTCAATCCCCCAACTTTGTTTCCAAAATTTCCATAATATCAATGCTATGAAGCTTGATAAACTCTCGAATCCCAATTTGTTTAAGGGGTGGATTCATACCCCTAATGTTCCAAGAAGCGATCTTCATGATGTTAAAGCAAGGGATGATCCCTTCTTCTCGTCAACTGTTGATCCCAACTTCTTTTTTTCCTTGACTTTGCCTCTATGCTTTTCATTTCCAGATTTACAAGAATCTGCCTCATTGAAATTTGCTGAGAAATCTGGCCTAGATTTTGAGGGCCCAACATGAACAGATTTTTTCGCCCCAACAACCCTGTTTTTCTTGGTAATAACCTTCACAAACGGTGCCTCAAACTGCTAGGGATTTTCCACCTACTAGTCATTCACAT